GCTGATGAATTCACTATTTCTGCTGCTGCTTCGTTTGGTAACTCCTTGTCTGTAGTGACTGGTGACTTCAACGCCTGTGACTACAGTTTTATTACATTGCTGGGCCATGAAAATGTTGTTAACTTCCCAACTCGGCAAGATACTTCACTTGATTTAGTATTTATAAATGATTCTGGAATATACGAAGCTAGTAAAAGAGCTCCGCTCTCCAGTTCTGACCATTGCATTGTACGAGTTTTACCCAAAATTTATGGAAAGTTACACAATAAAGCCTTCTCAAACTTGTCCAAGAAAGTTGTTCACAGATGTTACTCAGATGAGAACGTACATCATCTTAGAAGTATGCTCAGTGACACAAGATGAGATCTGTTTAATGATGACTCACTTGATGACACTATCTCTAATATTACATCTTATCAGAAATTCTGATTTGAAATCTGCTGTCAAAAAGAAACGCTATTCGTCAAATTTGACCGTTTCTCCTCCCCTCAACTTAAAAAGCTTCGTAGAGACAAGGAAATACTATATAAAGTAAAAGACAAAAGTGGTGTAAAAAGAACTAACTTCCTTATCAAGTATGAAATGCAGAGTTGAATGTAATATATGACCAGAAATTCATATCCTGCAAAAATGCTCCTAATATGTGGAAACCATTGAAGGAAATCACTGGTGGTAAGCAGATAAACAATATTTCGTATTCTTTTGATGCATGTACTCTTAATAAATCTGTTATTTATTCTCCCTCAAATGCCATGCTTCCAAGCATCACTAGTGTTATTAATAGCCCTTTTACAGGTTTTAACACAAATAATGTCCAAAAGTGCCTCAAGTCTCTGAACCCTTCCCGGAGCTTAGGTCCAGATTATGTACCTGGTATTATTTTTATTAAATGTTCTGATATTCTGCGTCACCCTCTCACTGATCTATTAAACAAATCTTTTTCTAGTAATATTGTGCCTGCCGTTTGGAAGGACATTAAAGTTGTACTTATACCTAAATCATCTCCTGGAGCATGTGTCAGATTTAGACGCATTGCTATTACCTCTCCTTTTTTGAAAACTATGGAGAAATTATTTTTACTTAGTTTTGTACTTTCACTTAAATCCTTTAATGACCGTTAAACATTTGCCTATAAACACAGTAGAAGCACTTTAGATGCAGCTGCCGTCTAATATCATAACATTGCTTCCAGTCTAGACAAAGGGGCTAAATTTGTTCGTTGTGCCTTCCTAGACTATACATTTGCTTTTGACTCGGTCCCTAGGGACATCTTGTTAAATGAACTTGCTGCAAGTCAAACAGAATGTTGAGCTGTTAACTAATTACATTTCTATTTCTCAGAAAGAAAGCAGTACACCGTGTATAAAGGGAAGTCTTCTCCTTCATTGCCTACTGAAGCTGGTGTCCCTCAGGGCACTGTCTTTTCTCCTTTTCTTTTTTCTTTCTTCTTACATGACTTGCCTCACTCTGATGAAATAAACTTTGTGAAGTACGGTGATGATTTAACAGTTTCAATGGCTGTTAACTCCCAGCTAGATTGTACCAAAATAAATAGCTTTCTGTCGGGAGTCAGTAAATGGTCTGAGTCTAACGGTCTTAAACTGAATCCTTCTAAATGTCAAACTGTTAATTTCAGCTTAAGATGTAAAAGACAGTTAAGAGAAGCCGTCGATCCTCATGACACTTGTAAGATTGACGACAATGATACAAGGAATTAAATCAGAAATTAAGTATCTTGGACTTATTCTCTCTTCTGATCTCTCCTGGTCTTCCCATGTCTTAGCGATCTCCAGTAAAATATTCCACCCGACATTTTACATTAGGAAGTTAAGGCACTCGGGTATAACTCAACCCCTCCTCTTACAGTTCATAAACTCTTGCATCCTACCTATTCTTCTTTATTGTTCACCCTTATTCTTTCCTCGTTTGCTTAAAAAGGACTTTGTCACAATTCGTAGAACGCTGAAGACTGTCAGTAGGATGAGTGGTGTCCCAGTGGACTACATAGTTAACGTCGTTGTCGATAGGCACTTGACTTCGTGCAGTAAATTTGCTAAAGGGATTCTGTCTGACTTTGAGCATCCACTTTGCCCTCAGCTTTCACCTTGCATCTCCTCAGGTAGAACAAGAAGTAACTTCAGAAAACTGTATGTTCGCACGTCTAAGTATAAAAATTCTATGATACTATAATTGGCACGTATTTTATGTGATGAAAATAGCGTCAGGCAAAAATTAACTAACCTTTTTTCATCTAGTAAATAAACAATCTCTTCCATCCATCTTTGTATACCGTCAAGTTTTACTTCTATTATTTCTATTATATTTATGGTCCTGATGCTTCTTTGTTTTACTTTCATAATTACAAACACCAACTTATCTCTATGACTGCTGTAATCTTTGCTTTTCCCCTCATCATATCATGTAAAGAGAACATTATATTCAACATTTTTAAACATGATAGGATTTTTTATACCGCATTGACAATACTGTGTGAAACATGCCCACGGCAATTTTAACTTGTATTATTATTATTACCTTAGCTGTTATGATTATTATTTCCATTTTAAATACTGCGTGCTTTTGACATTACCCCTATAGTAAATGTGGAAATCTTTCTGTGTGATTAATTTTATTTATAATTTGAGGAAATTAGATGCAATATTGTGATTAATCCTGAAAATTCCATTCTGTATCACAAGTACTGTTTTTGGAATAATGTAAATCATTATTATTATTATTAAGTCCTGCATATGTCGTTCAGCTGATGTTACGCTCTCAGATGCTACAAATGCAAACAATGATCACTTCTCCAGTTTAAACTCAAGCGATGTCTTCAAGTGTCTCAAATCCCTGAAACTTACGCATTCCCTGGTTCAGATGGTGTACCAGATATTATCCTCAATAAATGTGCTGACATTTTATGTCATCCCCTCACTGGTATTTTCAATGAATCATTTCCAATTAACACTGTGCCTGCTTCTTGGAAGGACATTAACATTGTTCCTGTGCCTAAATCATCAAGTGGGCAGACTGTTAACTTCAGACCTATTGCCATTACTTTACTTTCTTAACTAATGGAAAAACTACTTTTACTTAATCTTGAACCTTCACTGAAGGCTTTTAACGACCCTAATCAATTTGCTTATAAACATAGTAAGTGTTTATTGGATGCCACTGTCGTCTTATATCATAATATCGTCTCTTGTTTAGATAGAGGTACCAAAGGTTTTCGGTATGCCTTTCTAGACTGCACATCTGCCTTCGACTCTGTACCTAGGCCTCCTATGTTAAACAAGCTTGCTGCGTTACGAGTAAAAGGCTGGATTACCAAGTGGTTGCATTACTGTTTTGCTGATAGGAAGCAGTGCACTGTTTACAATGGGAAGTCCCCCACTGCTAATATTTTCACTAGATTTAATTTCAAATTCGCTTTTTATTGAATGACACTATTAGTGTAAATACACTATTTTAACTAGTGAGAAAATTAGATGCGACATTGCATTACACGCTGAAAATTCGACATTTGTGCCAAAAAGACTGTTTCGAATAAAGCATTTATTACCATTAATATCACTATTATTATGACTCGCTTGATTACACTTCGCTTCTTCGCTTCTGTTTCAGGGGGATTTTCCTTTGATTATTTTGGATTCTCTTTTAATTTTTATTCGTGTTCTTACTTTATGGGTTGTTTGAGGTTTCTACTATTTAGGACTATTTTCTACCCACGCTCTATTTCTCGCTAGCTTTTTGCTTCTACAGTCCCATCCCAGAGGTTTTCACTTATTCGATCATGCCTTCTAGTCGACTCTTTGCTATACTTTATGGAATTTTTCTTGTGTGTGGGTTCACCCTTCCGTTGTCTGACTTCCACCTTATTTCGTTTCCTCATGATTTCTTATCCTAATTTTGGTGTGAATATATGTGTTTTGTATTACTTTTCTTCATTATATTGTTTTGTGACACTTGTGTATATCGTTAGCTAAGCGTTCGCTCTGATATGCCTTTTACTAACTCACCACCTTATAATTTCTCTGAGTTATATTTTGAATATACACATTTAATTATGGTCAATGGATGGGGAAACAATTTGCATGCATTTGACCAGTCTGTAGCTAGATTCACAATGTATGACTAGACTGAATTTCTCTCATAAATTAACTTGTTTCATTGTCCACACACCTTACGTTTAAGTGATACACAGTCGGTTGAGTATGTACTCAAAGAAATTTCCTCAACCCAAAGTCAACTCATTCTTACTAGTCTTCCCCTTCGATGAGAAGGGAATTCGCCATATACACTTTCAGCGCTATTATAGTCGTTCTGAGCAACTGTGGTGAAATATTGAACATAAAGCAGTTGTCAAACACTGACTACTATTCTCGTCTTGAAGCGATCCGAGAGGTTACCTGCACGTCGAATCAAGGGGCGGATGACATCGTTTGTTGCCTGCTATTCAGAAGAAAGATAATGCAACCGTCGACAAATCATCATGAATACGACATACGTTGATAGTATCATTTTGACTAGGTGGAAATAGCCAGATGATCGAACATTGATGACGTCTGTATGCACATTTAGTTTCCTGTTCCCAATGCACTTTGGCGTTGGTTTACCACACTGAAATGTCGATATCTTCCACATTGTGTATTTATTTTAAAAATCGCTTTCCACTTATCGCGCACAACAGTTTTACAAGCAATCACTCTCACGTATATGAGATAACAGGCTTCTAGACGTTAACATTCCTCGGATGGAGAGAAACTGTATGCATGATTGTAATCCCATAACAAAAGATATCGATATATAATGAAACCCGATTGTTATTTTATATATCGATCGCCTTCTTTAATGAAAATCAGAACGTCCAGCATGCAAATTGTATTCTTCTTGAGGCTGAGAATTGTGTGAAGATGAATACAATCCGGAGCACTGTGAGATGTCTACTTCACCAGTGATCACTAGATACTTCTGTCAAATCAGTGGTACACCACTTCATTCTAAATATCTTTTAACTTTATTGACACTTCATTTAAACATGTATTGATTGAATGAGCACAGTAGCACAAATAAAGAAGCTTACCTGATGTATAAACTTGGGAAGTAAAATACCCATCAGTCGTAGTTGTTGATGTGAAGTTTAACAAACTTTCAGTTACTTCTTGCAATTCTCTTGTCGTCTGTGCCAAAGATGCTGATGACACCATCATCACTGTAGGTTCTGGATAAGTCCCTTGAATAAAGAAAGAAAAAACTTGGGATTGGCATATTGTAAGAAAAATGGTATTTTGGGTTTTATTATCCAATGATTTCACCGAATAGCATATTTGATGACCAACTCAAAAGAAAAATAACAAAGAGTACAGCTATCCTGATTTCTTTTCCCATACGTTTGCTTTTCTGTGACTGCATACGCTTTCTCTGATCGAATAATTGTCTGGCCCATAAAACTAGTGAGACGCGTGTGTGAGTAGTTTAGCACAAAATCCTGTAGACACTGTTCATTGATGACACCTCATTGAGTGAAATTTGAGGTAGTCACCTATTATGTCAATAATCTTGCAGAGAATTACGTATCAGCCTAAGTTGACAGTGTTTGACGGAATTTCTCTCTACTGAAATACATTTCACTTTCAGTGGGAAGATTTGTTAGGTAGAAGACTGCAATTGGTGAACTGCCAAGTTTTCAAACATTCCCTGAGCTCAACACTTATACTATAGTGGATATACGCACTATAACTGGGTGCATATTTCATCGAAAACTGATTCACCCATGCCATAGCAATTGATGTAAAACTCAGGATAGTAAACTTCACAAGCCAGGCTATTCTACTGCAAGATTAGTAAACTTCGTGGCATACGAATCCACTAAATCAGCCACATAAAATCATACCCACTTTATTGAGACCAAAATTATAGCTTGGACAGTTTCGAAGGTATAGTTCGGTGTCAGAGTGGTACTTGTATTCCTTATTGTTTGCTGACGATCATTAGTGAAAATCACAATTAGGCATCATCATAGGTTTGATATGGTTTCCAGTGAGATCGATGAAGAGCGGGGTTTCTATGCTTTGTAAAAGAAATGGGAGAAGGCCTTACAGTGAAGTACTACTCACTGGCAAACCACGAGAAGGCTGATTCACGTTATTTTAAAATTCGCAGTCAAGATGATAATTGTTCTCATAAAGCTAGACATGACTTCCAGACTGTCATCAAAAACCATCATTGCCAATTTCTAAAAGTCATACAGTGACAAAGCACCACGAGGCTGAATATACTAAACACGTTTGATTTGTTTAGGATGTATGCAGTTGATGAGAATCCACGAAATAAAACGAGCTCGTATTATCCTGCAAACATGTTCATTCTTTCTCTCTTCAAACTAATAAAGGGAACCAGTTGCATGAAATACTAAACACGTGCCATTCACTAACACGCACTCCTGACATTGGTATAATTAAATAATGCGAGCCACTCACTATATCCACGTTCAGATTTTGACATGTCAGAAGACTGTCTAATCCAACAGTTTGGGATTTGACATACATTCACTAATATATAAAAAATATACACATTCTGGCGGCCTGCTGAAATCACTGGGCTACCAAATTTTCCCACCATCACATTGCAGCATACTTGCTGCACTTCATGATGTTTTAGCCATCCAACTACCTTCATGAATCGTATGGTCTCGACCAACTGATGCGAATGTTTGAAGGAAACGCAAAACCATTGGAGCCTGCCCTGGATAGAACAATATTGCTTCAAATGGTGCATCATCGATGACTATTATATTACTTGAAGGTCTTGCACAAGGATTAAATACCATGCCATAGAACAAGCTGGAGATTCTGTCTCATGTAACAAAGAACTTCTTAGAATAAAGTAGTTATTCTTATTACTATTATTGTGCATCAATCTAATTTAATCTGCTTCATTGCATTTAATCTACTACTAGAAATATTTTTGACTTACTAATTGCTTGTATATTGAAAAAATATGTATCCGAAGTTACATTTGACTGATTTTGAACAGAGGATAGGATTTCAACCAACTGCGTTTCATTCAGATTTGTCTCATTCGTTGGCATCAAATCGATATCTGCGTTCCCCTGTACACCTTGAGTGGCATTCTGTCGCTCAGTACCAGTTACATTCAACTGTCTTTTCTCAAGAATTACAAAATCAACTGGTACGAATACAACATTGTAGCATCGAGCTCCTTTGGAAGCAACTGGATTCCATAGATTGAAAATGTCCAAAATCTGTCAAAATGAATCCAGAATTCAGAGGTCAGTATTTCAAAGGTAATTATTATGGAAACCATGAAAAGTGATGTGGGATTTTATAGGCACACATCATATGATTGACAAGAAGGGGCGGTATCTGATCAGTTTAAATGAATCCGGTCCAGTGATTTGCATTGTAATTGGCTCGTAATGTCAACTGTAGTGATATATCTGCACTCACCGTCTTGTGAAATTCTTTCGTTATCAAAGAAAACGGGTGTGTGTTCTTGGATTGATGGCGAAAATTTGTACATCAAGTGGGTATATTCAGTGTTACTGTATCCTATGTGCCCAGTGGTTTAACTGTGGAGCTCCTACTATCCCCTTCCGGACAATATATTCAGCCGTAAATTCAAAATTAAATGAGATTTCCGAATTCACCATGAATGAAATGACCGATTTCCTGATGATCCTGACTTGGATCAGTTGTCTTCAATGCTCCTCTTATTCTGCTGCCCGATGAAGTTCAAGTCAGAATAACCAGAAAATCAGTGACTTCATCTCCTGCAAATCATACAGTCTCACTTAATTTTGAAGTTAGCGCTGAACACGTTGTTTGCAAGGGCAGTGAAGCATCCTCAACTGAATGAAGTAGGTTGAACAGAACAGCAGTATCGAACGAAGATTATCTCCGAAAATGTGGATATGGACAGTCATCTTTATTAATGGGCAAGACTAGGAAGCCAAGAAGTGTAGTGGGTTGACAAGTGGAGTCATTAACCAAGTGGATATTGAATTTCGAATGTTTCATCAGTTAGTTCAATCACTATTACGAATTCCCTGAATATATATGTAATCGCAGACATTCCCGCATTAGAAGTCACTTCGCCTCGTCTTTCGATGGCACATTCGCTGTTCTCTGTATTCAACATGAATAATTCAAATAAACAAGGAGGAAAGCCTGTCACATGAACTATCTGAATGATATGACATTGAGTTCTATCCATCGGTGGCTAGAAGTTCAATGAGGAATTCGACTCTTCCATTAGAGTCTAGATATGATTATTCCTATGACTATTATGGTTTATCGCACTTGCTGCACGTCATTTAACGTACAGAAAATAAATTACCTATGAGTATTATTAAATTGACAACTGACTCAAAACGAAAGTCATCCACTAAATGTATGTTCTGAATCACTGTAAATTGTATTGAATGCATAAAACTGAATACGATGAACTGACCTTGTTGCAAAATGTTTGAGCTAGATTAATGTATACATTTGATGATTTGTTGGACAAATCAGGCTGCCAAATATACGGCGTTCTCTCACTGTCCGTGTATAATACAGTTGCAAGTTTGAAGATCACGACTTCTGAAAGTCGAGAAACGATAACACAAGCATGATGACACAGGAACAAAAATAAGAAAAACGATATAATACTGATATCCCTTATGAATTGATTGTTTCGTGTGAAAAGACGCCTGTTCACAGACAATCGATGCACTTTTACTACACCGAGATCATTGACAATCCTCATTCATTCATTTCAAATTGTTGATTACATTGTTTTAGAACTACGCTTTAACTGCATTTTGGTTCATTTACTCTAAATGACGTGAGCCGATATGAAAGAATAATTATGTGGACATTGAGTTGACATCAAAACATCGAAAAATGTCGACTAAATTTGAAAATGTCATGCATTTGATCCTCTACCCTATAGTGCTCAAATATCAACTGTTGAAGTATTTTACTGCATGGAGTGTGCATCAAAAATATGTATGAACACATTGAAAAAGTAAATTGAGGGAAATTCCCGGACTTCATGCACGCATTTATTGATACGTAACTTCAGTCGGAGAAATGGAGCTATGTGAATGTGGATTTGATTGAGCATGATCTGGTTGGAATATTCTTTGGGCTGGCCAACTTTCAAATTTCACTGAAGGTGATGAGGATGGTGACGGTGCAACAAATGACTGAGACAGCTCTACACCCACCATCAGTATGCATATCTCATTTCCAAATTGTTACGATGATTTTCAATTCGATGTGAAATGCAATTTCGAAATGCTCATGATTTAGAAAGTTGTCAGGTGAACATTGATTCATTATAATAAATCAGAAGAAACTTTAATTGTGATAATGATAAAATTAATCCGGACAAATATTCATACTTGTGTAAGCGTTTAATACACATAAGTCACTTATTCATATATTTCAGATTCAAATTTGAAAGTAATAACAATGGCGTCTTTAATAACGATAAAGATTATGATGACTCTAAACAATATCGAGGGTGATATCAAAGGGTTCCATTTCAGTAATGTGTTAGTTTAACAATATGCTTCCTTGTCAGACACAGCGAAATATATTTTGTGAGATATTCCATCCAAATTCAGAAGTCTAATCAAAGTGATGGAGATAAAGTGAAGAACGGAAAGGAAAGGAAAACTCTGTATTAGAAGAATGACGAGATATTTAGAGGATGGTAAACTTCATGAGTGTATGAATAGCGTCTGTGAGATAATGAGCTGCGAACAAGCATAGCATATGCACAAATGAATGTGTGTGAGCGATAGAGGTGAACGCAGAGTGAATACCAGTAGATAGGAGAGTGTAGAATGCAGTGATAAACAGGAGTATAGATTAAAAGTGTACTCCAGAAAAGAACTAGGAATAGAAATAAGCGTAGAAGGTAAAGCAGGATAAATGCATGATGTGAAGGAGAAGTGGCGTGGATGTGGGCTGGTGAGACGGAGTGGGCTGACTGCTGTCACTGACTGACCGGGTGATGGTGGAAGGTGATGATGGCTGACCTGTAGATAGAGGGAGATGTAGAGAAGACAGGAAGCTATGGTCAACACTTGCATGATTGCACAGGGGAAGTGACAGTTTCGCGTGTATGCGATGGTGTTGAGGGAGTGTGTGGACTGAGTAGAGTTGGTGTTGGTGTTGGTGTGTGTGTGCGCCTGTGAGCGAGAGTGCGTGCGTGCAGGTCTGTGTGTGTGCGTGCAGTTGAGATAGTGGATTGGAGGGTGTGAGTTTGAGCAGCAATAATCCGTGTTATTGTGTAGGTGTGATTGTGTGTGCGAATAGATGAGTGGGTGTGGGTATGTGCTTGTGGTCGTGGGCGCGTGTGTACGTGTGAGTGCTTGTCAGATTGTCGATTTAATTTTGATTTTGTGAATATCCATTAATTTCCACTTGTTATTATTGATTCTCTTTTAAAATGTATAGTATATTTCCATACTACTTGAATTGACATCGAGGCGTTTTTTGATTTTTTGTTTTATAAACTGTCATATCCAGGAAGTTTTAGGTTCTATTTTAATTCGTGTCCTTTGGAACACTGATTCTGTGGAATAATCTTGTTCACTTTTGACACCTATAACAAAATGTTCGCCACTTTGTGACTGTTTAACACTAACTAATATCTTTTATTATATATATTATCGGATTTAAATGCTCAATGCGACCCAAGTGAGTGAGTCTATGGTTCTCGTCTCATTTTTGCTGATAATTGTGTTTGACTGATTTCTTGCTACGGTTTTGTTGTTGTTGTCGCTGCTTCTCCCGTCGTGATTTCGTTGTTGTTGTTTTTCTGATTGCTTCATTTCCTATTTTCATGATTCTAAAGGGAGCAACCCACAAGGTCACTCCTCCTATGTAATAAAACACTTCTTGGGCGTGTGGCTAGCAATACCACCCTGTAAACAAAGCTGCTGCAGAAACTTCAGTGCGATGAGCCTCCTTGCGACGAAAGGAAAAGTAGGTGTGGGGACATGGATCGTCCGCACTATGCATGAGACTGGCAAAGCAACCCAGATTGCAAATGAGATGAAGAGTTATGGTACTGAAGTAGTGGGAATATGTGAAAGCAGATGAAATAGGAGTGGATTCACCAACTTTTCAAAGGGAGAGTAGATGATCTACTCTGGCCACCCAGAAGACGACCACTAGCACACCGAGGGTGTGGCTATCATGATGTCACCAACGGCAACGAAGGCCCTGATACAGTGGAAGGCGATCTTGCTCGGATTAACGACCGCCAGATTCAACTCAAAAGGAAGGAGAGTTACAACTATACAATGATATGCACTCACAAACAACTCAGACCAAGAAAAGAAAGAAGAGTTCTACAGACAACTACAGGCAACAATGGATAATACTCCAATCGCTGACAGTAAAAACCAAATGGGTGACATGAACGCTAAACTGGGACCAGAAAACACAGGAGGAGAACTCATTATGGATAGAAAAGCACTTGGAGAGATAAACGAAAACGGAGAACCCTCAGCTGACATCTGTGACTTGTGTGGACTAGTGATTGGCGGCAACGTATAAAAGCACAAGGATATCCTCTAGGCCATATGGATGTCATCAGATGGGCGGAACAAAAACCAAGTTGACTTCATCTCAATCTAAAGGAAATGGAGAAGCAGCTTACTGGACACGAAAGTAAGAAGAGGAGCGGACGTAGGCTCAGACCGCTATCTCGTACAAGGAACACTCCAAATCAAATTAAAAGTTTTCAAAGAAACAGGAGCCACAGACAGACCACAAGCGAAGTTCAATACTCCAAAACTGAAAGATCGGGTCACAAAGGACATCTTCACTGCAATCATAATAAAAAAGGTGTAGACAAAAATCAATGCTAGCGAAGAGACCAGCGTCGAAAAATACTGAAACAACGTTAAAGCGAAGTGGAGCCACACCTGCATGGAATTCCCAGGTAGAGAACAGAGACAGGACAAATAGTGGCTGGGTAAAGACACATGGAGACTAACAGAAGAGGGAAGGATGGTGTAAAGAATGTACAAAGTGAAACGATGAGCAAAAAGGGAACAGTATACATCGCAATATAGACTGAATAAAACAGTTAACTGGTGTGCCAGGGAAGACAAAAGGAAATATTATGAACCTATGGCAAGTGAAGCAGAACCATCTGCGAGTAAAGGGGACCTCGCAACTTTCTACCACACAACTAGGCTCCTATCGGGGAAAAGTTCAACGCAAATTAAGTCAGTGA